GAAGAATGGGAGAAAAGGGGAGAAGGCGAAGCCGCCAATTAGCGAATATAACGAGGCCCCCGAAACCCGCCGTGCGAACGCAGCCCGGGAAACAGGAATGAATAACAGGTAGATGGATGGCGCAACCTGAAATCCACACACGTGGAATCAAGCGTGGGGGTTAACCCTGACACGGTTCAGCGGTTCGGCCTTCTCCTCCTCCTCCTCCTCCTTCCCCTTACTGCTCCGCATTATGCATGCAGACCTCCTAACCTCGTGCTCCTAACGCTTCGACCCGATCCACGTCGCTGTCGCTTCCTTCCCCCCTCCCTCCTCCTCTTTCTCTTTCTCTTTTTCTCGATCAATGCGAAGAAGAAATGGCGATAATCGCGGGCGGAAGTTAGGAATATTCGGACAAAAGGAGGAGGAGGAGGAGGAGGAGGAGGAAAAGGTAGGTTGCAGGAAGGAAGGAAGGAAAGGGATGGGAGCCGCGAAGCGCAACCTCCGCGCTTTGGGGGCTGGTTTATGTAACGTAAAGTCAGGGGGAGTGGTGGTCTACGCTGTCCTATTTTTAAACCTAACTACGGGTTAACCGGCTAACGTTCGATCGATAACGCGGCGTTTCTCGAATCGTCCACCGAAAACTCGATTTCTTCTCTTCTCTTTCCTCTCCCCTTTCGAAAAATCGAAATCGCGCCACGATCGTTATTAATCAGAAAAATTTTTCCAAAAAATATTCTCGATTTTTACTCGACGCACGATTATTTTTCGATCCGTTTGTTTAATCCGATTTTTCCCCCTTTTTGGGGGGGAAAAATAAGAAAAGGAACTCGAAATTATTTAATCGAGGAATTATACGGAGGATTGTACCGCGCAGCACTGCGGTACATTCGAAGCGTAAAATTGGTTGTTCGAATTTGTTGTTTCGAATTCGCCGAGTCGATTCGAATTCTCTCTTTTTTTATTTTTTTTCGTTCCGCTGGAAAAAAGAAAGAAAGAAAGAAAAACACGCGATTTTTAAACGCAACGCCGAAAACAAGAGATGAAATTGGCGTCGCCAACGTTTTCCAGGGGTAGCTACCTACCCACCTAATTAATAACTCTCGTTCAACACCGCTCCCTTGATGAAAAATAACAGCGCGGGATTTTACGTTTCTCTTGTTTACGCGGGAAATAATTGAATAATTTTTTTTTTAATTCCGTCAACGAGAAAGGTCGTCGTCTTCGTCGTCGTGGAGAAAAATATTCGAGTCGGAGGAAACCTGTCAGAGCGAACTTTCGCAAACTTTAGAGGGGCAGGGATCGTCTTCCCGAGTGGAAACGCGGAGAAATTGAATTGCAACAAGAAAGAGAGAGAGAGAGAGAGAGAGGGGGTTGTATCTCTCCTCTTCGAGACG